TCAACACTCAACCACTGAACCACGCCAGCCAGGCTCAGATTATATTCTTAAATGCTACCCGTTGATGAATATTATAGTCATGCATAACTCATTTGTTTTGTGGCACTAGGGATTGACACTTGATTTAAGATCTGTCCAAATAAGTTTAAGTTGGAGGAATAGGATTTGGTTATGAAAAGTTAACTGGTACTAAATCATCTCTCAGTAACTGTTTTCTCATCTTTAAAACAGAGATAAATACGGCATCTAAAGTGGTTGTAAAGATTGATGGGTTCATGTAAGTACAGTTTCTAGAAAGGTGTCTAGCAGAAACCGGTTTGGCTCAGTGGATAGAGTGTAGGCCTGTGGACTGAAAGGTCCCCAGTTCAATCCCGGTCAAGGGCATGTGCTTTGGTTGTGGGCACATCCCCAGTAGGGGGTGTGCAAGAGGCAGTTGATCGATGTTTCTCTCACATCAATGTTTCTAACTCTCTACTCATCTGTAAAAAATCAATAAAAATATATTTTAAAAAAAGAAAAGAAAGGTGTCTAATTCAGAGTAAGCACCTAGTAAATGTTAGTCATTATTAAGTTACTGCTATTGCTAATATTTATTTTCATTACCATATTTTTAAAGGAAGATGTTCCTGTTCCTTCCCGGAACTTAAAAACTTAAGAACTTGCCGAAATCGGTTTGGCTCAGTGGTAGAGTGTTGGTCTTCGGACTGAAAGATCCCAGGTTCGTTTTGGGTCAGGGGCATGTACATTGGTTGCGGGCACATACCTGGTAGAGAATGTGCAGGAGGCAGCTGGTCGATGTTTCTCTCTCATCGACGTTTCTAGCTCTCTATCCCTCTCTCCTCCTCTCTGTAAAAAATCAATAAAATATATATATTTTTAAAACTAAAAAAAAAAACAAAAACACAAAAAACTTAAGAACTTAACAGGGTTCGTAAAAGTTTTCATTTAACTCAAAATGCTTCTCTGGACCCTGGCACGTCTAGCTCATTATGAAGGGAATGCAGTCTACCTTTGGGCAGTAGTTACCAAACACCCACACAATACAGAACAGTCCAGTTGCTAAAGGAGAGCATGGGCTGTTTGCCACGTGTCCTGCCAGGGCTGCAGCGTGACCTCTGAGACTGAATTCCCACTGCATCAGCAGCCAAAGTTAAGGTCTTGTGACCACTCACTGACTTTCCAGAGCATTTCTATAAAATCAGCTGACTGCCTTGGCCCTTCTCCCAGCAAGTAGGTGCAATATCACTACTACTGCCACACCACCAAGCCCTCGCTTGGCAGGAGTTTAAGAAATAAACGCTCCTTGGAGAATGATATGACTTCTCAATTCCAAAGGTCTAATTATAGTAAAATATTCTGAAAATGTAAAACATTAACCCTATATTCTCGAAAAGTAATAAAACATAATTTCTTAGGTGGAGAAAAAGAAGTCTAATGGAAAGTTAATCACTGGTTGCCTTCTAAAGATGAATTCATTAGCTCAGATTACTGAGCTACAGGGATTTCTAAGATGTGGATACGAGGCAAAATAAAGAAACAAGATGAGAAGAGCCAAAGAGTGAGGAGGCAAGAGCTTGCAATTATTAGTTGAAGGGAGAAGTAGAAAGGGAAAAATAACAGTAACAAGAGGGGAATCTGAGATATTAATGAATCAATATGTACTGAGCTCAAACTATCTGTATTGTACTGTTAGGCTATCTGGAAAATCAGATTATGCTCTCTCCCTCAAGGAATATAAACAGTGGTTGGAGAGAAAAGACATAAAGAAATGACATGCTAAATAATACCTTGAGATGAGTCATAAAGTAACACATAATTGACTGCCAATGCCGTAGATTTATGTGTATTATAAGCTTGAAGATCACTGACGTGAAGGAACTTGGCTATGTGCTATAAAAGAACAGGAAATTTCAGCCCCGATATTGAAAAAGGGAAAACAAAGGAAATAAGTACAAAGAGAGAAAGGCCATTCAGAACTGCAAATCTGCAGCATCCCTTTTCCCTGGCCACGTTCACTGGTTATGCCATGCCATTGGGGGATTAGGATTCATTAGGTTAGGTTTATAATAGTACTGGAAAATGCCCTGATTTTTTGGAAATACGTAATAAGACATGGCATATTTAAAGATAAAGTGTCATAATATTGGCATTATATTAATAATTGTTGAATCGAGGTGGTGGGTGTGTGGGGACTCATTGTGTACTCTTTATTTTTCTGAATGCTTTTACATTTTCATTATGAAAGTTAAAAAAATAGCATCATTAAATTAAAAAAAAATATGCATAGAGAAAAGACTGAAAAGAATTACAACAAAAACTCTGTCAGGAGCTAAGAGGATGATGGGTAACCACCACCACCACCCCCCAGTTTGTTCTGGAATGTGCTTATGTTGACTTTATAATAGAAAAAGAATGTAAAGGCCATTGTGTAAATGTAAAAAAATGTAAAAAGGAACATGACAGAGCAGCCATATGTAAAAGGTGTTAAAGAATGTGGCAAGGTATGTCTTCTTTGTCATGGAAATAGTAAAAAATATAGGTGAGGTGGGGAATAGGGAAGGGCCAGTCAGGAAAATAGTTCAGTCCTTATCATCTACTTCCTGGAGTCTTAAGGTTAGTTGCTGTTACCGCCAAACAATTCTAGAAACATCTTAAGGTTTTATCCTGGGTGTGGCTCTGGGAGTAATGACAAAATAAAATGAAGATTAAAGCATAAATTTTAAACTCAGGTCTCTGTGTGTAAAATCACACCTATGTATCCTCGAGGAGCAATTCACAGCTTAGAGGAAGGATCAACTCTCAGGCTTGTTTCTTATTCACTCATCCACACAAACAAGCTTAAAAAAACACTTCAGTGCACAATGGACAAACCATGGCTGTGAAATACTATTTTCAGAATAAATTTGAAATTAGGCTCTAAGACTAAGGCACTGCTTTTCAAATTTGCTTTGGTCATTTTTATATGGGAACAAGAACACTATTGGCATATACATGACATTTCCCCAGAATTTCTTAACATCCCATACATATATAAAAATTTATAGGAGAGAACTTACTGCAAAGTGTTCAGAATTGGAAAAACACTATTTCCAGCACCACAGCCAACCTAAAATCAAAAGAATAAACAGATATCATGAAAGCAAGGTGGAATTTTTCTCACCAATCTTGGAATTTTTATTAAAAAAAAAAATAGAAGAAATTTACTGGACCTCCAGGAATAAGAGACTTTTCTAAACTCAAAAGCAATGGAATAAATCACAAAAATAATACTAAGAAATTTAACTATGGAGCCGAAACCAGTTTGGCTCAGTGGTAGAGCGTCGGCCTGCGGACTGAAGGGTCCCCGGTTCGATTCCGGGCAAGGGCATGTACGTTGGTTGCGGGCACATCCCCGGTGGGGGTTGTACAAGAGGCAGCTGGTCGATGTTTCTCTCTAATCGACATTTCTAGCTCTCTATCTCTCTCCCTTCCTCTCTGTAAAAATCAATAAAATTTATTTAAAAACTAAGAACAAACAAGCAAACAAATAAAACTTATCCATATCATAAAAGGCCTGTGTTCATGATGCTATGATGGCACCAAACAACCAGTCACCAGGAAGTGCAGGGTGGGTCTGGGTCTCGCACGTTTTGCGCTCTGGGCCTCTAGTAGGTAAATAAGCAAAGAAAATAAAGAGAACACAAAAGAAGTACAAAAGGCTTCTAAGCACTTGAAGAACTATATGACCTATTTAATAAGCAAAGGAATGCAAATTTAAACAAGGTATGTTTGTTGTCTTATAAAGCAGAAAGCATGAAAATAAAAACATTCCAATCAATGAGGATGTGATGAAATAGATGCACAATGCCATGACCTATGAACTGGTATTAGTATAACTTCTTAGGAAGCAATTTGGCAATAGATCTTAAGAGTATTAAACATTTTAATAAACTATGAACTAGTAAATCTAACTCAAGATAATAAAAGAAAATTAAGAAAAGTCTATTTCCAAAGACGTTTGTTGTAGAAACCTGAAAACAATTTAAATACTTAGTAGTGAGAAAAAAAGGTAAGTAGAATTATAGTACTCCATATGGTAAAAAATTTTGTAGCTATGAAAATGTTTATAGAAAAAATTTAAAGATAGGGAAAATAAAATAGCTTATGATATAATGTTAAATAGAAGCAAAGCAAGACCCCAAAATACAGCTATAATATAGCTCAACTATATAAAACAGTCTAAACCAAAAAGAGAAAATGTCAGTAAAATGTTAACAGAAGGTCTATAATTTTATTTCTCTTATCTACTCTTAGCAAATTCTCTGTAATTAATATAGTCTACATTTATAATCAGAAGAAAATGTGTTTTCTTAAAAGTAGAAAATCAAGGCCTATACACCAGATTAGCAAATTATATTCCACATTCCTGTTTCACCTGAAAATAAATAATTACAGAAAGAGATAGAAATTAAGGCCAAAACTTTACTGGTATTTAAAACTGCTCTCAAGTTAGAAATTAAAGCAAATTTAAATTTTTTAAAAATCACAATAATTTTCCCCTTTAAAAAAATCTGGATTGTTAATAAAGCAATATGGAATGCACATTTTAAAATGATTTGCCACGCCCCATGTTGGCCTGCAGTGCAGTACCTCTAGGATTCTGAAAGAGGCTTTGCTACCAGGAAAGAGGTCTGCCTTCAGAGGTCCTTTTCTGTGCTCTTCAGAGTTGAGGTTGGGAAAATCAGATTCTGCTTTGCTTTGACCATCTGAGGAGCCAGAACTTTTCTGATAAGAATCCTTTTCTTCAGGAACAATAGGGCAGTGCTTTCTTGAGAAACAATTTGCAGCATTAGTTTTTACATGATCCCATGATAATTCTTTTGCCGCCTCTTCAGTTTTCTGATCCGGTGGAAGAATTTCAGGAAATTCCCTCAACAGCCAATTACGATCCTTGAAAAACTTATTCTTATGAACCTTGTAAAATGTGTCCCAGTATTTATTAGCTTCCCGCTCATACTTCACTAAAATAAAGAAGAAGAAAATTATTTAACTATTATTTACATTATTAGTTATATTAGTTATTAATAGTTAAATCTGTTAAATGTATTATATATCATTTACCATTTATAACAAGTATATTTAGTATGGAATAACTTTAATATTATAATTATTTGATTTTTAAAAACTCTTACAGATTAAAACTACAGAGAATTAACTCTTTGAAAATGTGACAATGTGTGGGGTATCCAGTTCATTAGCTTCTGTCTCAATAGTTTGGCCAGTAAGTTTTTATAAGGAATATAATCATTGAAAAATGCTTTCTACAGTGTAATCTTGGAATCTTAATAATCACATTTTTACCAATCTATAATAATAAAAGCATAATATGCAAATTGACCAAGGGACCGAACTGCAGAATGACCGTCTGGACGACCTTCCAGACACCACACTATGACAAGCAATGGCGCCAGGCCGGCCAAGGCAGGTGTGATGCTATTAGGCGGGGGGCCCCATCACACCACAATCACCCCACAGAGGAAGGCCCAGGGCACCCACTATGGAGTGATCAATGGGGGCTCCCACAATCGATCACCCCAAAGAGGGAGGCCCCGGCTACCTGGCCAGCGGCACTGCAGCAGGTGGGCAGGACCTCCCTCTATGGGGTGATCAATCTGGGGGCCCCATGATTTGTCACCCCATAGAGGACAGCCCAGGCCACTGGCCAGTGAAGCTGTGGCGGGTGTGTGGGACCAGCTAAGTGGCTGCACCCCATGCCTGTCACCTGCGGAGGGTGGCGGGGGAAGGGAGGCAGTGCTGCACAGAGGGCAAGCAGTGGCAGCAGCGGGGGCTGGGCCAGCTTGGGCAAGGCAAGACTCAATAGGCCTTGATTGCCAGCCAGGCCCAGGACACTACCCTAGGGGTCCTGGGTTGCGAGAGAATGCAGGCCAGGCTGAGAAACACACACACCTTCTCCCTCCCCCCTCATCTCCCTGTGCATGAATTTCGTACATCAGGCCTCTAGTCTAAATATATAAAAACTTAAGTGACAGTTAGGACCAGATGACTGGACGACTGGCTGGTAGCTATGATGCGCACTGACCACCAGGGGGCAGATGCTCAACGCAGGAGCAGGCGCCTGGTGGTCAGTGTGCTTCCACAGCCAACCTCCCACAGCTGGCCAACCTCCCACGATCCCTCCCCTTGGCTGGCCGGCCCCAATCAGGACTGGGCGAGATGGCCCTGATATGCCGGGAGGGACCCCATCCCACCCGGGCACAAATTCGTGCACTGGGTCTCTAGTAACCTATAAGGCTCTTTATTATTGTAGAGAAAGAATACTTTAATTTTTTTTTAATCTGTGTGAAAGCAGTTTCAACACGATATCTATGTAAATAGGTAATCAAATGGTATTATAAATGAAATAATTTTAGAGCTAGAATGGACCCTTGAAATCATCTATTTTTGCACTGGAAGAAAGACAGTATGGAATAGATGAACCCAGTTGTTCCAGGGCCTAGAGTCCCATCACAGAAGAACTGAGCTGGCTCCTGAGTCTAGGGGCCATCTCCAGAGGCATCTCTTCTTATGACATCTCCTAATATGAAGCCTTAAAGAGAACTCCTGATGCCTTTCTAAAAGAGATAGCATTTTGTGATGTCATCTCTTAGGTTTCACTGGATCCCAGGGTCAGAGCTTGGTCAAGTGTCTCAAAATTTTAGGGAATTCTTAGCTTTCTGCCTCTTTCTATCTGTACCTTAAATTAATAATTCTTAGCTTTCTGCCTCTTTCTATCTGTACCTTAAATTAATAAACTAATATAATTCTTCCTTCCCTCCTTCATTCATTGAAAAAACTTTTCTTGGATACTATTAGGTAGCAGGCCTCCTCCCTAGGCCTAACCCATGGGTTAAGAATTACTTTCATCTAATGTAGACACATGATATTTTAAAAGCTTTCAAAGAATAAAAAAAGACAAAACACCCCTATTGATTTGGAATAATTTCCAAGATTCAATATTGGGTGAAAAAGCAAAGTGTAGAACAATATGTTAGCATGCAACTGTTGGTTAGGGAAAAAAAGAAAAAGAATACATGTGTGTGCATACACAGAAACATACATATATGTATATATACATATATACTTATATATGTACAGAATAGCTCTGGAAGGATGCTTTTTAATTAGTAATACCGATTGCCTCCAAAGAGCAGGACTTAGTGGTTTGAGAATTTTCACTTGAATTTTGATCTCTGTGAAATGACTATACTAGTATACCAAAAATAAATTATACTACACTAAAAATAAAAATAGCAGACTCACTTTTTCCGCAGTTTTAAAGAAGCCCCTGTCTTAGAACAAGCACTGCCTATAGTGAGGTTTGTCTTTGTTACAGAGCCTGGCCTGAGGCCCTTACAGTTGTTCTTTTCTTTCCATTTTTATCTTTATGGCCTTGCACCATGGATCTCCACCCATTTGGCCACAAGACTTTCCTCCCATCAAGCCTGAACTGTGTATCTAGCAGCAGGACTGCTATATAGACAGGAACTCCCGTCTGTACTTAAGGCCTGAGAAATGAAAGCAGTTCTCTGTAACAAAAGAATTATGTGATGTTGAAGTCCAAGACATGCTCACATCCACACTAATGGAAGGAGGCCTATTTATGATTAATCTAAAAATGCTACATTTTATCTTTACAATCATCCTATCTCTACTTTTAAAAATTGGAGTGTACTTGATATACAAAGAAAACAAAACAACATTCTGCAAATCAGACTCAGGAGGAATGAGGAAACTGTCTAATTTCCCCAGGGTCTTTTTGCATCTTGTCTTCTTTTTACTGGTACCTTAAAACCCTCTTTGTAGCTCACTTTATGCTAGTAGAAGGTTTGTCTGCTTAATAGAAAGCAACCACCTAATAAAGACCTACATTTAGTCAAATCTCTAGTATCTGGGTTTCTAATACCAAGCTACTTGTGAAGTGGTTTTGAACCTAATTATCAGTTAATCTATATATATAAAACCTAAGCGACCATTTAGACTGGTTGACCAGTTACTATGACAACGCACTAACCACCAGGGGGCAGATGCTCAAAGCAGGAGCTGCCCCCTGGTGGTCAGTGCGCTGCCACAGCCAACCTCCCACAGTCCCTTCCGGCCCTGTCACCAGCCAGGCAGAGGGACCCCACCAGTGCACAAATTCGTGCACTGGAGCTCTAGTGGAATATAATAGTACACCATGATTAATTTGCAGACTATTCCCCTGGGAATTAACTGGTGGTAGGGAGGTAGACACCTAGGGAGTTACTTGAAAGAAAAGATATTCATAGCAGTGCTATTTGTAAGAGGAAAAACTGGGAAATAACTCAAATACCCAACAAACCATCACCAAGCAAACTATGCAGGTTAAAACAGAGTAACCTTACATAGCAATTAAAATGGAAAGGATAATAATAAGAGAAAACATTCACACAGGATGGTCTATATACTGACTGCAACTCAAAAACTTATTTTACATTCATTTATTACAATCAGGTGAAATTTTGGAGTGACGCTAACAATTTAATGGATATTATGTGGTTCTTTCTTTTGTAGTTTTGTCAACATCTTTCACAAAGATAAATAATCTTATCTGATTCTTCCTTCAACTTGCCTACAGTTTCCTCATTTGATGAGAGGTTGAATGTATCTCCATGTTCAAGTTCTGAATAGTCTATGTACTTTCCTACATAGACTTTTAGACATTATCAGTTCTACAAACTACAAAATTTGGATAAGATTGCTGTCATAAAAATGAGCCTGTATTATATTACTATTTTAATTTCTACAATTTATAAATAAAATGAATCTGCAGTAGATAATTGGAATCTGATTCATATGCCAAATATATCAAGTATCTAAATTCAGCCCTGGCCTACGAAATCTTTAAAAAGGATCTGAATACTATTAGAAGATGATGGTCAAGGTCTGTGTATATACTTTCAAGCCTTTTTCAAGTATTTCCTAATTTTCCAAATTATGAGGAAAAGAACCTCAAACAAAGACATAAATAATTATACCAATAACAACATCATTTAAAAAAACCAACAATTACACATACTGAGTATTGATTATGTGCTAGGCACTATGTCAAACACTTTATTTGGATTTTTCTTCCTGTTTAATCTTAAAAACACCTCTCAAATAGACGTATTATTTCAAATTATGAAGAAATTCAAGGTCAGAAGAGATAAAATTTCCCAAGGTCCAGCAGAGCCTGGACTGGGACCAACTCTATCAAACTTTAAAGCTCATGCTCTTAACACCATGACACCACACTGCCTTCCTAACAGAAAATCAATAGCAGCCCCTCCAAAATACCTCTGAAAATAATCTGTTTTTCTTTCCAGGTTTCTGCTGATACTTTATATTTTTATGTTCAACATTATTTTGTATTAGTTTCAGGCGTACAGCAGAGTGAATGGACATTCATGTAGGTTACAAAGTGTTTCCTCTGATAATTCAAGTGCCCACCTGGCACCACAGATAGTTCATACTTTGTTCTCTATGTTTTACCTTTCATCCCTGTAACTATTCCGAAGCTATCAATGTGCGCTTTTTAATCCCAATATTTTATTTCACCCTACCCTACTGCACCCCACCCTGCTGGCCTCCATCAGTTTGTTTTCTGTATGTGTAAGTCTGTTTCAATTTTGTTTATTTGTTTACTTTGTTCTTTAGATTCCACATGTAAGTGATATCATATGGTTTTGGTCTTACCCTGTCTGGCTTATTTCACTTAGCGTCATACCCACTATGTCCATCCATGCTGTTGCAAATTAATCTGTTTTTCTAATTCTGTACTTTCTTTTCATTATGAAACACCAAGTTAAAATGAAAACCTCAGCATGACTTATAACCAGTATAACTAAGTTGTAAAAAATAATGCTGATTGGAGCAAACCTTTGTAAAAACAGGTCAGAAATACAGAATTAAACCCCATTCAAATTATATAAAATATCAATCTGTTTGCAAAGTTATATGA